ACATTAACATTGGTACGCGTGGCCGAATGGAAGTGTCTTCGATTTCTAATTCAGAGGTTTGAGGTTCGAGGCTCAGAGGAGCTGACATTCCTTTAGATTTCTTTCTTTGCCAAAAAATAAATAAATTCAATCAAATATAAAACAGGGAACTCGGTAACGGAAAATAAATAAGTAAATTTCTAGAAAACAATGAGTATTAATTAATAGTTCTGAACACAAGTAACGCTGACTCAAGTTTACAGGAAAGTGAGTGACTGAGTGATTGAGCGAGTGACAGATTCGTCCCCCTCCATTAACTCTTCGATTGCTTCGCAATCTTAGAGTTAAAAATGATTTTATTCCTTTGATGTTTGTATCCTTTTAAGTTAATAGGACGAAAGCCCATAGAAGAAAAACTCTGYCCTTCTAACTTCTAAAGTATCGAGGTATAGCATTCACATTTTTTTTGCCACTTCTTGAGTGAATATATAATGATTAATATGTAAATTCCTCAATTTGCGTGGTAGGGTAGGGTCGTGGTCGTTCGGCCTCGCGTGTTTATATCTCACAACYAGACCCTGACATCAGGGTGTACTCGTGCCCTAATACAGTACTTTTCAAATTGAGCTCATTTTTAAAAAAATCATTTAAAACCATGTCTTTCTCAATTTTCAAATTGCTCGCCCGAGTTGACGCTCTAAGCGGGTCTGGTTTAGATATAAAGAATCTACCAAAGGCATGCAGTTCAACTATAGGAACTGATATCAAATATATTAAGAGTAAAACTTGTGAAAGTAACTCCTTCTTGATTACATTTAGCAGCTTTTGAATAAACTAGATATACAATAATTTTTGACAATAATTTTTGACAAATCTTTAAAAGCGTAGATACGGTATACATCGCACGGCAATGCAGAAGTGACTCAAATCGTTCACTCTGATAGTCTTTCGTGTGAAACAAAGTAAAACTTTGGATAGACTTATTCTAATTACTCGTGACCAGGCCCTTGGCCGGGTCACGAGTCAGAAAATGCAGCG